TGCTGAATGCTGCAGTTCACATTTATTTCTTAGTAACATCCCACTTCCCAGCAGGCAGCTTCAGCAGATACTCCAGTCCCTGTGTGCTTACAGGGAAACTTTAAATCACTGTGAGGGGATTGTGTTTTAGGAAGGCACAGGCTGACTTCAACACCCATTACATAGCCTGTCTGATCTGATAGTTGCACACCTTTGCTGTTGTGTAGAAACCCAGAGTAACTGCACTGATGGGAGGGATGCTGTTCAAGGCAAATAGCAGGAAAGCTGGGAGTTAATGAAGGAGATAAAGGTATTCTGTTGTCCTTCAAATGCAGGGACGAGGCAGGTGGAAGTGGTGGAGCTGCTACACATGGGACTCAGCACCCACATTTGATGTGTCTGGTGGGGTATAAGAATTATTTACCTTTTCCCACTCAAAGTAGTGCAGCAAAGCAATACATGTAGTGAAGACATTTTAGGCAAATAAAAATGTAGTTATGTTTTTTCTCTTATGAGTGAGCAAATACATGTATAACTGATGATGGGTTTTTTTCCTGTAATTAACTCTGTTTGATGTGGAATTAATTTATCCTTTTATTTGTATTCATGCTTTTTGTAGAATTAAAATATTGTGAAGTCTTCTGGAGCAGAATGTCAAAAGGATGCATTTGGAACAAACCAGTGACAAAGTGCATCAGTAAGTCAGTATTAATATTTGCAAATATATTTACATATAAATTTCCAAATTTAAAGCATCGGGTTTGTAAAGACAAGGATAGAAGTTGCAGGATGAGAACACCCTCTTCTGCTTGGTAACTATTCCATTTCTTGTCAAAGTGCATTTTGTATTTGTAAGTTGGAAGCTGTTTCAAAGTGCTGATGGTTATTAAAAAAAAAAAAAAGTTTTTAAAAAGGGGAAAAAAGTGTGGAACTAGCAAAAGCAGCAGCAGCATAGGAGAAAAACACAATGCTTGTACTTGTATGAATGTCCAAACCAGCTGGGATTGGTGGTTTCTGCACAGTTGTTGCAGGTGAGTGCCAGATACTCAGTTCAGTTCCTCTTGAAAAGTAACAAGCTGAATCTAGAGTTTATTCCAGCTCCATAACCACATTGTTGCTGCTTTTTAATTGGGTGGCATTGTTCCTGACAGGAAAACTGCACCCTGCTCCAGAAGTGAGTGTGAGGGGGAAAACCCCCTGAATAACCACACTGCAGAGAGGGGGATGACTATTTTTTTGAGGCTTGAACTGCTAAATTAGTTGCTCAGCAAAATTAATCAAGATTCCAGAGTAATTCCCATGAGTTTGGGGAGAAACATTTTACAACATAAAAGCAGAATTGTTCCTCATCTTTTAAATCAGAATATCCATATATTCTAATTACCTTCATTTACATTCACAGCCAGTACACTTTCCTCTCTGCCCAAAACATATGTCTCTTGATTACAGAACTTTTCCAGAGCATGTATGTAATAGTGACTAATGAAAATTGTACTCTAAATCAAATATTCATTTACAAGCAATTTTACCATTCTAAAACAATCTAGGAATTACATTTAGAATCATTAACTTAATTTAATCCGTACAAGCAGAATGATTCAGTGTCCAGATCCTAAACCACTGAGCAGTTATGAGTCTCTGTTGTGTTACAGCCTGTGGCACGTGGAGAAGTGGAACTGTGGAGCCTGTCCCTGGAGGAGGGTGAGCCAAGCCTGGAGAACTCCCCTGGCAAGTGATGGGAACTACAGAGCAAGATCAGGGGGCAGGTCTCTTCAGTGTGACACAGGGTTGTAACAGCTGCTCCTGTTGCAGCTGAACCCTCAGCTTCCAGGGTTGAACTGGGAATTTTGAACATTTTGCTATGAAGAAGCCCAGGCAGAAAATTTTTTTATCCACAAAGCTTATACAAATTATCTTGTCAAATTTGATGGTGACACTGCATTAGTTGGACCAGAGCATAAAGTCTTGGTTAGTACCAACATCACACCCATTTGTTACCAGGGAAAGAAGTTAGATTTCAATGCAAGCCAGTGCTGGGGTAGAACTGTCCCAGCTGCTGTCAAAAGACCTTTAAATCTACAGCACTGCCAAGTGCCCAAGGCAGGCATTGCTCTTTATTAATGAAGTGTTTTGTTTTGAACTAGGGCTGTGGATTCTTGTCAGATGGCAGCTTTGGAATGACCCCACGTGCCGGGAAAGCACGGCAGGATGAAGGTACCTTACACTGCTCCCTCAGGACTGCTGGTAGGTGGAGTCCCAGCTGGGTTTGGGGGCATTTACCTCCCCTGCTGTACCCTCCCGAGGTCCTCGAGAGGTACCTGCTGTACAGCCCGTGCTGTGAAGAGCTGCAAAAAGGGTGGTTTTCTGAACGAAGCTTTCACAGTCCAATCTGTAATTTCAGTACATGTTCAGCTGACAGCAGTCTCAGAACTAACCAGAAGCTATGTTATAAAAACCTGTTTTCATAACAATATACATCACCTTACAGTTTACATATACTTTGCCTTTCTTGAATCTGACATTCATTAGTATGTCACTTTATAGAAGTATCTTTAAAAAAAGCAAGACTCCAAACACTTCAATACGTTTTCAATAGTATTTTATTTACTCACTTATAAACACTAGAGTATGCAAAGCAGTAAGAAAATACTACTAAAACTTGAAAATTAGTCTAAAATTTTCAGGGACTTTGAAGGTGAAGGAAGGCTAAAATTATTGGCAAATACTACTCAGTGCTGCCAGCCTGTTAAAACCTAAACCTGGACAATTTAAACAAAATTAAAGCCATGCTAATTACAGAAACTTACCGTGAAGCTCCTTGCAGGGGGCCACAGTTAGTCTTTGGAGGTCCAAGAATACCATTTTTAAGTGTTACTCAGCAGAAGTAGCTGGTAATAGTGCAAGTGCTAAAATGCAAAATTCACAGATGGTACAGAGTTTGGAGATTATTCTGACTTGGGTGCAGAAAAGAAACAGCTAAGCAACTATTTGCAGTGGGATATGAACAACAAAAGTGCGGGATTAGTTTTCAGCTGGAGGGTTTAGAACCCTTCTCTGAACTCTTTAAGAGATACATTGAGACCCAGCTGATTTTCTAACACTGCAAGTGGAAAAATAACAGCAGTGCTGTTCTGTCCCTGATTTTGATGGTCTTACTATTCACAAGCCTCAGCTTGAAAAGCTAAAGAGGCTAAGAACTGTGTAAATATCCATTTTCAGAACGCTCATAGCTAGCAGGAGGGTGTATAAAACACATGGCTCAAGCTTTGGTGGGTTTCAAGTGCAAGTAGATGAAACAATTCCTCTAGCTCCTGCCACCAGTGGAAATAACTTTCCACCAGTTTCTGCTAAAACATCCTGCTCTTTAAGAAGCTGCCCCTTGGTTGACACTCCTGCACCTGTAATAAACTTGTTTTCAGATCAAGGCTTCTCTCAGTCTGTGTACACTGACTAATGCCTTATTTGGCTGGGAAGGCTTTTCCTCTGCCTCATTTTAGACATGGGTTTACAGCTTCTTTCTGGGCCAAAAAGTGGTACAGAACCCTGCTTCCCCTGAGTGAGCTGATCTGCAAACAAGTTAAACCCACTCATCCCCGCAGGAGCTGCTGTGGACAGAAACACACCTCGACACTAAGTGTCCATCTCCCCCAACCCACTTCTGATGAGAAACTCCAGCTCCTAAAGGAATAAGTAACATTCCTTGGTACAGATGCAATCTGGAGGGAACTGCTTACCATTCTAGGTGCGGGCACCCAAGCGTGGGGGAACTGCATTTTAGATCTATACATATCACTGAACAGTGCAAAAATACAGTGGATTAAAGCTGGGTGTCAGGTATCGAAACGTGATGAGCGGTGGCTCCATCTGACTTGTCAACTTTTAGAGCATGCTTATCTGAAACAAACCGAATTACTGCAAAAAAGCTTTACAGAAGTTCATCTCAAAAGGGTAAAATTAATTAACTGCTATGAATTCTTTGCATTCAGCGCTGCAAAACAAAGACACATATTACTTAAATCAGTTTTATTTAAGAATTTCCTACAGTGACAAATCTTATAAAAAGCATCCAAACACGAAACTGCAGCAAACAGCATTCTTATGGATATCTTACAGACAGTGGAACTTCCACCCTGGAGAGGCACACTGAGCTCGCTAGTGATCTCTGCTCCAAGAGCTGCTGCAAAGCACACCACAAGCTCAATGTTCTCATCGCAAACCCCATCGTCTTCAATTCACATTACCACACTTACAGGTCATTAACAGAAAAAAAAACACACACCATACAGCATTCACAGCAGTTGACATAAGGGAAAAAAAATACAAATATTCATTTCACATAACACATTCAACTAATCGATTAACTAGGTGTAAAACCCACTTAAAGTCTTCCACATATGGATGTCCTTTGAATGCAATAAACACTCGTACTTTATTTGCTATCATTGCTCTCCGCACACTCTCTCACCAAAGCCACAGGATTGAGAGACATCTCGCCAAGGAAAATAAAACCCCAGAATGCACCACCAGGTCTCTGCATGCGCTCTCTCCTTTATCTCGCACATACCAGCCCTCTCATGCCTCGGCACCACCAGCAATCCCACACAAGGTTTCAAAAGTTCAAACAGCCTTCTGGTTCCATCTCACAGCCTTGCGTTCACAGCGTTGATACGACTCCATGAAATAAAGAGTAGCGGATAAAAATGGAACACCCACCGTCTAAGACGCAGCATGTGCGGTGTGATGAAGTATTCTTGGATGAGAAAGCATGTAGACAGAAGTATTCCTAAGGCAGAATATTTACAGCACTGCTTTCAATGAAGTGCTTCTTCCATACACATTTGAAATGAGATGAACTGCGGAGATTAAATGAAGCCTTCATATCGTACTTTAGTATGGAGGGGAGACAGTGTTAAAAAAAAAAAACCAAAAACACGAAACGAAACCAAACTGACAGAGTGTTCTCCAGCTGGGGCACTCGGAGAGTCTTATGGTGGGATCAAATCAAAAACAAGAGGGAGAGAATGCTGTTTCTGACCAATGGTTTCCATTTTGAACATGCAAAGAATTCAGGTAGCCAGGAAACAAGGGGTAAAGGATTACAGGAGAAACCCTTCCTATCGACTGTAGTGTTAGTTCACCTGTCAGGCAAACAGCAGTCCGCTTCCAAACATTCCCTATTCCAACCAGATACGTAACAAAACTTAGAAAATTCCTTTTACCTTTCTTTTAATTTTTTTTTTCCTTTTTCTTTTTTTAAAAAAGAAAAATGTCAAAAATACTGCTGAATATACTGCACACTGAACAAACTGATCTGGAAAATTTTAGTATATACGTAATTTACAGTATACTTACCATGAGTTAGAAAAATTTGATTTCCCACCACAGAGTCAGTCTCAGAGCCCACTGCGCCTACATCCCCCAGCCTGAGG